CCCCAAAACCCCAAAACCCCAAAACCCCGTGTGGCAGCCAGTCTTCTAAATTTTAAAATAGTATAATTTATAATAATATTGACGTATATTTAAATATGCCATCAGATCTTGATAAACATATCGAATAATTAAAGAGGTGCGAGTGCATCAAGGAGTCAGAAGTAAGAGAACTTTGTAACAAGGCCAGAGATATTCTCATGGAGGAGTCTAATATTTAGAACATATTCTCTCCAATCACAGTAAGCTATCTTAAAATGTGCTAATAATATTAATTTAGATCTGTGGAGATATTCATGGGCAATTTTATGATATGATGGAATTATTCAAAGTAGGAGGAGATTGCCCTAAGACCAACTATCTCTTTATGGGTGATTTTGTTGATCGTGGCTTTTACTCTGTGGAGACATTTTTGCTTCTGTTGGCTCTTAAAGTAATCCTATTAAAAATAATATTTGTAGGTCAGATACCCAGACAGAATTTCTCTTATAAGAGGTAACCATGAAAGTAGATAGATAACCTAGGTTTATGGGTTCTATGATGAATGCCTGAGGAAATACGGCTCAGTCAATGTCTGGCGTTACTGCACCGAGATCTTTGATTACTTACCTCTAGCAGCAATAATAGATGAGAAAATATTCTGTGTGCATGGAGGACTCTCCCCATCAATCTAGACTCTTGATGAAATTAAGGTAATTGACAGAAAATAAGAAGTTCCTCACGATGGAGCAATGTGCGACCTCATGTGGTCTGATCCAGATGACATTAGTGGCTGGAGTATGAGTCCAAGAGGTGCAGGATTTTTATTCGGAGGAGACATCGTGGAATAATTTAATAGAACAAATAATGTTGAACTGATTGCAAGGGCTCATTAGCTAGTAATGGAGGGATATAAAGAAATGTTTGATAAAACGCTTGTCACAGTATGGTCAGCTCCAAACTACTGCTACAGATGCGGAAATGTAGCTGCAATCTTAGAATTCGATGAAAATCTTAATAAAAACTATAAAATTTTCGAAGCTGCACCACAGGAAGCTAGAGGAGTACCTGCAAAGAAGCCCGCGCCTGAATATTTCTTGTGAAATGAAGATTATACAATATAACTAAGATTAAGCAATAAAAGCTGTTAATTTTAATTTTACAATTAATATTATTATATTATAAAGTGTGAGAAATAAATGTTTATTGCAAAAAATGAGATTGATGCTAGATAGATAAATGACTCAGTTGATCTTCTCATGCAAAAATCTATTGTCTCAGATTTAGATGGAATCTTTATTCAGATGGACTCTAAAGGATATTTCAACAAAGGGTAAATCCATATTAAGGCTACGTTGGAATCCGATTCATTCAAAAGTGTCCTACTTGAAATATCTGAGAGGGATACAATTGCAATCTTGAAAAAGAAGATAGGCGAAATTATGGAGTCTAATTTTGATCTTTACAGAAATTTAAATGGTCTTTTAGCAACGAAAATAGTCAAGAAATCTAATAATACGTTACTTTTAGATGAAGAGGTTGTTGAGTCAGTTCTAGAGGATGGTGAGGAAGTCTTTTTCGAACTCCAAAGTAAAGATCTCTGGCTGAAAGTCGTATTTAATATGCTCAACTAGCAAGATCTGATAATCTATGGATCTACTGAATTTAGACTAGAAAAGACAGAGACACTTGTCAATCTTAAGAAAAAACTCCAGAAATTCAGCATTAATCTGTGGTCTAAAATGCTCAAAGGAGATGGTAGTTTGTATGTTATTGATTCATTCGACTTGAAAGCGGGAGAAGATGACATTGCCAATCATTAAAAGCTGAATCAAGAAATCATCTAAGCTTAAGTCAATCATGCAATATCATAAGGACCAAAGGATAATTAAAAGTCTCATGATAGAAAGTAAGAAGGAAGTCCCTAACCTAAAAGAAGGAGACTGCTTGATTTAAGAGCTTTGAGTAAATAATAAGATTGCTAAATTGGAGAGCTGTTCGGATATAAGAGCCGTTTATTTATGAAACTTACATTTAAACCTATCTTTAAAAGCTACTATCACAGGAAAATACCACTTATAGCGAATACCAATGTTTCAGAAGATTCTATAAACAGCGATTTTTAGCCTTTAAAAATGAAATCTTCACATAACACGATGAGAGCATAAAATCAGAGATCAAGCATGACGTACCTATTGCCCAATAACAATAACTTAATGGTCCCTACAACAAAAACATCAAATAGATTGTCAGGTGCCAAAAAGGAATAATAAAATAACAGTGGGGGTATAATCTAACTTACCCATCTCAAATCAGTAAGCATCATTGCTCCCTAGTAATCGAAAAGCAGAGCTTAGTCAGACAATAACTAATCATAGTATGCTGGGAACCCAATAGAGTATGCACTGATAAATCATGTCACTTATGGAATTGTATTTGTTAATTCAAAACACTACCTCAAGGACCTAGTAGAACTTATAGAAAATATTAGAAGTAAAAATCCTCCACTTAGAAGAGCACCTACTCTAATAAATATTATGGAATAAGGAATAGAATAGAGGAGGATGCTTGGAACGATGAAATTAGAGGCACAACCTTCTAAATTCAAAAGAATGAATAGCAAGTCACCCCGAATATCGCTAGGAAAGTTTACTTTTGGTCAGGGCAAAAAGACTGCTATCTTTAACATTATGAGGAATTCAAGTAGTGGGCATTATTCAAAGACACCAAAGATTTCGCGCTAGAAAAGAAAATACTCGAGCGTGGAGTCCTCAGTCTCTTCAAACTCAGGAGAGGAAGAAGACGATGACGACGATGATGACGATGATGATGATGATGATGAGCTTGAGATTGATGCAGACTTGGAAGAAGATGGTTAGAACATTTTCAATGTAAATATGAGTCAAGAATTCATGAAGTTCATGGATGATCCTAGTATCAAAGAAGGTCAGTCAAAGCAAACTATTTTGAATACCAACATTCACTTGGGAATGAGTCTCAAGATTCAGAGACACACAGATCTAATTAATATCATCTCAGAAGAACAACAGCAATTTGATAATGACTTTGATAACTTCAATGAGGACTTCAAATCAAGCTAGCATTTGCAGAGTGGTTTGCAGCTCATTAGAGATACTACTGATAACATTAAGCCAGAAGAATTAATCAAGAATTTTGTGATTACATGGGAAGAGGCTTATCAGTTGAAAGTGCCTCGAATTAGGAAAACTAATGTGAAGTCAAACATTAAGGATCTAGTTGACGATCATGTCTAGGATAATGACCCTGAGTTAGGCAACTTCAATGAAATGTCTTACATCTTCGAAGATGATTTCAACAATCCTTAGAAGTTCGAAATTGAGCCCGAATATGTCTAAAAAGTTTAAAGAAGAAAGAGAAAAATCCTGTTCTGCTTATCTTTGACTTCGTTGATAATAATGCTGATAGTTGCTATTATTCTAGTCATAATCTTTATGAATCCTTATGGAATAAGAGACATGATAGTTTAATTTTTCGACTATATAATCTTTGAAATCCATGAGTTCTTTAGAGATAAGGACGAGCTCTATGTTGAAGACTTTGAAGATTATGAAAACTATACTACTAACGGCAACAGCACTATGATCTCTCATGAATTAGCTGATTCGATCGGCAATTTTGTTTTACAGATATGAATCAAGGGGAGACAATATAATTGTAAATTTTTATTCATTCGAAATTATCACAAACTAAATTCACTCCAGGGGGTTTTGGGGTTTTGGGGTTTTGGGGTTTTGGG